TTTTTCCCCCCCCCCCCCCCCCCCCCCAATTGGAGTAATCTCATATAATGCTAAGTACGAATCAAACAGAGTAAATCCATGCTAACAAAAGCCTTGAGTTTCTGAGATGGAGATAAAATTGTATTGCTGTTGATTCTGCTAATTTCAGGGCCCAATTACTGACCTTTTGTAATGTCAAAGGGTGACATAAGTTGACACATTCATCACCAAGCTTTGCACGTAGTCTGTGTACACATCACTCCCAGATCACGGCAGCCTTTATTTTCTTCAGTCACTTTGAAATGTGAATCTTTTTCTGGAGAACAAATGCGCAATGGCTAGCACTGAGCAGTGAAAGTCTGTGAAATGAATTGTAAGAAGAGTGCCATATCTCAGGGCAGTGGGGCGTGAAAGTGTCATTTCATTATTCTGTCGCAGCAAGTCTACTTTTCAAAGTGTAAAATCCTGAGCTTTTGTAGCAAGAAGTGGACCTTCGTTTCGATGAGGCGCATCTCCTTTTTACTTGCTTATTACCCGCTTCAGTACAGTACAAAATGAAAGGAGGAGAAATAGCATTTCCATCCTGACATGCATTGGTGTCAGTTTGAATTAAGCAGAATAGTTAAATAGTTCTAACTTTTTGACTTCTCTTCTTGGATGAATAGGCTCTGGCAATTTTTGCTAAACGGTCCTCGTTGTATAATACAATGTTGGTAGTTAGAAAGGATGAAAGAAAGTGGCTTAAGGTGGTGCCAAAAATGCTGCATTAAACATTTTTATAGCTCTTTAGCCTCCTTTTACATCTTGGTTGTTTCTAACAGCGTGGTCCTTCCATCACACTAGTTATTCCGCATTCTCTATTTTGTGTATCACAATGCTTTGGCTTCTTAACTCTGTCTAGGAAACCACTCTATAGGAGTTGAGTACTCAGTGCCCCAGAAGATCAGACTCCGAGTAATTTTGTTTCTCTGAAATGCTAATTTATGCTTTTAGGATTGTGTATGAAGGAAAAGAGCTTCGAGCACCAAGGATGTGACGAACAAGAATGCTGCATACATCTGTCCCTTCATAGCTTTTGTTTCTTGCAAGTTGTCACACCAGCATTTTCAGGACTGAGACTTCTTGTAATTTGTTTTATTGGGTCTTCGTTCACCACATGCTCTGTATGTATGCTGTCATTCTTGGCATATGCTTGCCCCTGATGTCAAAGTCTAATTTATGAAACTTTTAATTAATTGATAAAAATACTAACATTTTGTTGTTTACATGCTAGTCACTACAGCTACAAATTGGTTGCTCCAAAATATGCAGCTAGTCTTTGTAGGACTGACACCCTGGAGATAAAACGAAGCCAAACTTAAAATTTTAAGTGCTTTGGACCTTTTTTTTAAATTTCTTGATGGAAACTTAAACTTTGGAGCCAATGTAGAGGTGCAGAAGGAAATTCTGCTAGTATTTTGGTTTCAGTATACTGGCACTGTAAACTATCTAGCTTTTTATCAGCTGTATATAAACATAATCCATTAAAACGATGTCAAGAATAGTAACAGTTTGCTTTCTTGGGAATTTTTTTCTCTAAAAAGGCTTAGAAGGAGCACTGAAAGTTTAACTTCAAGAAAACTGTAAAGAATAGGGAAAAATCTTTTAGCACACTCAAAAACGAGGAAGAAAGCTGCCTGACAGATCCCTTTTCTTTTTGTGTGTATAATTAATTTCATCTTCTGTTTTTGTTTGAAATATTTTCTGCGTTTTTCCTGCAACTGTCTGGGAAAATTTAAATGGATGGAAGGATGATAAAGCAAGGTTCTGTACAGAAAGCTTACTGCACATGGTAAGCAAAGATATGGTTCAGTTTTTTTTTTTGTTGGTTTCAGTATTTTTCTTTAGTGTGAACTTTACTTTTTCTTAAATTGTGTTCAGTAAAACCTGTGGAGATCATTCTCTGGAAAAAAAAAAAAAAAAAGATTGCTTAAATTTTTATGCATACAGTTACATATTTAAATGTACATATTAGATGTAGAGAAGCACTTAAAGGTATTGCAGGTTCTACAATACCTACTATTAATCTAAGTTGAATTCAAGTGTCCTGAAGCCATTACTTTTC